TGGGGCATTCTTTTGGTGGAGCAACAGTTATCCAGGCTCTTAGTGAAGACCAGAGATTCAGGTAAGAGAAAAAGGTATTGGTAAGTGAGAGAACGGTAAACTGTTGGGTAGCGGGGAGAGATGGAGAGTGACTACATATGTGACATATATACAGAGAGAGAGAGAGAGAGAGCTCTGGTGGCATAGTGCCTAAGGCACTATGTCAGAAGGTTGGCAATTCAAACCTACCAGCCACTTTGTGGAGGGGAGATGAGGCAATCTACTTCTGTAAAGATTTACCACCTTAGATATCCAATGGGGGTCACTATGAGTCAGAATTGACTCAATGGAGATATATATATATATATATATATATATATATATATATATATATATATATATATATGTTGTTATGTGCCATCGAATCGGACCTGACTCATAGCGACCCCTCCTTGGGTTTCCGAGGCAGTATCACTATGGATGTAGATTGCCCCATCTTCCTTCCAAGGAGTGGCTGGTGCATTTGAACCTCCAGCCTTCTGGTTAGCAGTCCAGTGCCTTAGGCACTATGCTACCAGAGCTTATATATATAAATATATATATATATGTGTGTATATATATATATTTAAATTCTAAGGGGAAAGGGACAATTTGGGTTTTACAAGTCTCTTCCTTTGCCTCCATAAGTACTCTATACAAATATTCCTGCACAGAAACTGTATCCTTCTCCTGCTATTAAAACCTCTGTCCTCCCACCCATGATTCCCCTCATCATTCTTATTTATCTGTTCCACGGGCCTAACATTTTCATTTGGAAATCTATCTATCTATCTATGTTTTCCTGTGACATAATGATTATGATAATAATATTTCCATCTTATGGTATTTCTAGGACTTCCCCAATCAGCAGGTCATTTTTTGTTAGATTTTTTTTCAATCTTTAAATAGAGCTGGGTCTAAAATTTACACAGTACTTGAGTAGTATTTGAGACTAGACCCCAGTCTCCTAACTTGAAGAAAAATTTTTTTCTTGTATCACTTCTTCCCATACTGATGAGATCATGTAAAGCCAACCATATAGAAAGTGGGCAGGATCATTTGTGAAACTTTACCTCATACTTCTTAAAATCTATTTCAGTATGAGGGAATTTTTTTCTTTCTTCCATTTAGCCTATAACAGAGAGGATCCAAATGTTCAGGAGACCTATGATAAACTTACTTTTAAATAGAAAGTTAACATTTTCAAATGACATGCTCCATATATCTCTAGATACTTTTTCAGGTGAAAACCAAACCCAACTTACTGCCATTGAGTTGATTGTGACTCATAGCAACCCCCTTTGGGTTGAGGTGGTAAATCTTTACAGAAGTAGATTGTCCAATCTTCCTTCCTCAGAGTGGCTGGTGGGTTTGAATCACCAACCTTCTGGTTAGGAGTCAAATGTCTTAGGCACTATGCCACCAGAGCTCCTTGAAGCCCTTCTAAATGTGAAGCAATGTGTCCAACTGTTACTTTTAAAAAAGTACAATAAATATACTAGAAAATATCTAGAAGATCTGGAATTATAGGGGAAATAGTACATTTATTGTACTTTTTTCAGCCACTGCACAATTTTAAAGAAATTATTATTTTTCAATTTTATTTTGAAAACAATATTAAAAATTAATAATAAAAATTAATAAAGATAAGTATATCTTTTTAAAAGTTGTAATCCCTAGATATAGACCCCTGAGTAGTGCAACTGGTTTGCACTCAACTGCTAATCTAAAGGTTGATGGTTCAAAGCCACCCAGGGACACTGTGGAAGAAAGTCCACAAAGGCTTGTATAAAAATTACAGCCAAGAAAACTCCATGGAGCATTTCTACTCTGTAACATATGGGGTCACCATGAGTTGGAACTGACTCAGTGGCAAAAGCTTTAATTCCTATATTGCTCTTCAAGAAACTGACTGTAATTCCAGGTTTGCTTTCTTAGAAAAGCTAACCATATTCCCTGTATACACAATAAAAGTATACTAGCTCTTAAACCCAGTAAGATAACCCTTAATAAACTGGGATAGTCTGTTAATTCTACCATTTTTAGAAGGTCCTGTATGGCAGTCACTATTTAACCAGCCTTCTTTTGTCACTGTCAACAAATATCTACAGATGTGGAATTGCCTTGGATGCATGGATGTTTCCACTGGGTGATGAAGTATATTCCAGAATTCGTCAGCCCCTCTTTTTTATCAATGCTGAACGATTCCAATTTCCTGCTAATATCATACAAATGAAAAAATTATACTTACCGGGTAGAGAAAGAAAAATGATCACAATCAGGTAAGTATTACTAAGTGACTTATTTCATCGTCTGAAACAGAAACTTCAAATTTGAATAAATATTAACAGATCTCATCTGGTAGACATTATAGAAGTGTTCATCGTTTAAGCTTTCAGTTAGGGAGAGTATTATCTAACAGTCATAAAATATTATCTAATCTCAGTTTCTAAGTGCGTCTAGGCTTACTCTTTTGAAAATGAAAATGGTTTCTATAGTGTTGGTGTACATAGAGCATATACCATTAATTGAAATTTTCCTTAGTATACCTGCTACTTACATCTAAATATATGAACAGGTCTATAGTTTTTTGAGGGTGAAGGCAATTTCTTTATGAGGCTAGACTAGGAGTTCTTTAGAGGAAAAGTTAGATCAACTGTTGATATGTGAAATGTGCTTATATGTTGAGAAAATGTATGAATTTATAAATTTCCAAAAGCAAAATTGGGTCCACTGAGTTTTGGCAATATGCTTATATCCTGGACGTGAAGAAGAATTCTTCAGTAGGGGTTTCAAACTCACAATAAGATACTAAAAAGCAAAGATAGAGTTCATTCCTCCTCTATCTGAAATCTAGTTTATTCAGACAAGGAAAAAAGGGGCACCTGGGAGGAATTACATAAAACATAGGCAATAAACGTGAAAGGAAATCTATTCCATCTGAGGTAGGTAGTCAGGTTTCTTGGATGACACAAGACTAGAACTGGGTTTTGAAGGTTGAAGAGAGTTTAGATAACTAATGAGGAAGTTAATTTATCCTATTTGTGGTGGTGTAGTGAGTAAGGCATTTGGTTGCTAACAAGAAGGTCAATGATTCAAATCTACCAGCTGCTCTATGGGAAGAAGATGAGACAATCTACTTCTGTAAAGATTTACAGCCTTGGAAACCCAGTGAGGGTTGCTATGAGTTGGAATCAACAATGGCATTGGGTTTGGTTTTTGGTTTATTGGTATGTGTAAGTCTAATTCTGAAACACAAATAATATGAACCTGTAACCTTTCCTCAACCCTGCTTTCTTCATCAGCTCCTTATGATTTTTCTTCTCTTCCCTGCTAGACTCCTTGAAAGAACAGCTTATATTTGATATTTCATGTCCCTGCTTATATTTACTCTTCCAGCTCCTATGGTCTTGGTCTTGCATACTGCATCCCCACTACTGAAACTGCCCCTGCAAGGACACAAAGATGTTGCCTGCCACACCCAACAGCCTCTTTGGAATGAATATGCCTTCTTCTGTGCATCCATTTGACATTGTTGATTACCCTATTCCTCCTCCGTGGACTAACAGGACCCCACTCTTGCTTGCTGCCTCTATTGGTTAGACTGTTGTTTCCCCTTCTCCTCTACCTTCTCCTTCTGCTCAGGCCATTCTTTGACTGTTGGTGGCACCCAAGCTTCTTTTGTTGGCACTCCCATTGTCTTGGCTCTATTTACCTTCTTTATGCTGCTGACACTCAAGTTTTTACTGGAATGTAGCACAGAGGGAGAGGGAGTCAGGTGGCTCTATTTTAGCTTGTTGTTGTTGTTATGTGCCGTCGAGTCGGCCCCGACTCATAGCGACCCCTCCTTGGGTTTCCGAGGCAGTATCACTACGGAAGTAGGATTGCCCAA